CCCGCGCCGTAGCCGCGCGGTCTGAGGCATCATGCTTCGGACCGGCGATACGGAATGCGCGCTGGTTCGAGTCTCGGGGGAGAAAAAAATTTCTCGTGAGCTTTCGACCAGTGTATGGGACCGGTGCCAACCCAGCATCGTGAGGAAATTGGGGAGCTACAATGAGTAGCGTAATCCGGTCAGGAAAACTAGCAATGGCTGGGGGTTCGTCGTGCTGACCACACGTCACCCTACATCTGGTTGGATGATCGTTCACCTATGCTTAGGCATGTGAACGTGAGGCCAGCAGTCAAGCTAGTCGGCTTTGGCTCTCAGAGGGCTGTTACGCCACGGATTTAATTTTAATTACCAATTACATACCCCTTCCACTAGCACCAACTGCTGTTGGCCTATCTGGGCTCGATTAAGCTTCTCGGCTTCCCTTCGGAACAATGACGTCATCCTGACAAGTCGCTGTTGCTTAATCTCAGGTGGCACATCATCCACGAGACGCCTGTGAGCTGTAGTTTTCTGTAACACAATATTAAGTAACAATTTGCAATATACAGGTAAACCTCGATTTACGCCATGGATCAAGGAAAATACTCTACTTCGTTATTTGTTTTCTAAACCATTTTTAAACCATTTTGATTAAATTAATTAATTTCCGTTGCCACTGATGATGACCTCTTGAGGTTGAAACGCGTATGGCACTACTGTCTTTTTTATAGTGTTAATAGTTTGTTTGTTTGCTTATTTTATATTCTATTATTTGTATTTTTAGGTAATTATATCAATTTATTATTATAATTATTTTACATGTTACAATATTACAATGAATGATCAAGTCAGAGAATTGATTACATACGTCATATAATTTCTGAAATACATTTAACTGGCAATATGATGTACTTCCCACAATTGTATTCAGATTATATTACAAACTAACTTTTGGATCCATAGAATGTATATAACTATGTAAACACGACAACCACTGGAACTACCCACCTCTCGCAAACTGTAAGCAAAGAGAAATGCCATATTGTACTTGACTTCTGCCATAAGAGTGAGTGTATCTTCAAATTCTTCTTCAGTTTCTCCACAGAATCCACAGATAAAATCACTTGAAAGGCTGACACCTGGAATCTGGTGCCTCACGTGATGAATAAGATCAAGGTAGGCTTCCCTGCTGTATCCTCGTCTCATCCGTTCCAATACAGCACTGTTTCCGCTCTGAGCTGGCATGTGCAGATTGCAACAGATGTTACTGCGATCTTGAATTAGCTCTAAAACCTAAGAATGATTAGACACGATTGTTTCGTTAAGTCTAATGTGTACCTTTCATAACCTAAGTTATTTTTAAATTGAACATATAAATCTGTACCAATCTAGTAATTTCAAATATTAATAATATTAGTCTCGCACAAGTTAAGATTCAGAAGGAATAGTATTGCTTCTTCTGTTTCATGCTTTCAATCATCATTACACCACCATCATTTATTATATATAAACTACATGCTTGTAATTATTACATAATTATATTATGGAATACATATTAATCATTTTATAATGCCAGGCAGAACAAAACAGTTGAAGGAACAAATTCTATAATTTTTATAAACGAAACCAGAATCCGAAATAGTGTAGGTGATTGGAAAAATTTTGTGATAATTGAACTTGCGTACTTTTGCCACTTGATTTTAATCCTCGACTACTTTTTAGCAAAATTATTACTTTTCCCACATATTACAATAGAATTATACATAATCGATTAGCACTGACATTAACAATTTGTAGTCGCTGATAAAACAACTTTCTTTGACAAACATCTTACTACAGTAATTAGACAATTCCATAAATTAAAAGTACAGCTGTCCCAATATATGCCACGTGGGGAGAGGAGGTTTTGTTCCTACTAATTCTTCACCTCGGCACTAGATGGGAGGTGAGTGGTTAGCATCGTACCCCAGCCACACTTTACCCCCTGGGAAAGGACCCCAGTACCCATTGGATAGGAGGCTGGGTGGGCCCTAGAGCCAGTCTAGATGCAGAGGTTAGAGGAAAAATCCTGCTCCTGTCGGGGATCGAACCCGTCATCCCTAAATTACATTGGAAATTAAATTACAGTGCAATTTGCATATTTATACATCAGTTGAGGTATTCACAGTGAGAGACAACACCATTTATTTATTTATTTATTATATAATAAAAACTGTAGGATGGCCAGAGACAAGACATCACACAAGAAGGACATTTGCACAGGGTAGGACTTCACAGAAGACTATCTTTATCTCTCAGCCTTTCTATTTCTGTTTTGGAGAAAAAGCCAGCCTTCAAAATATCATATGTACCTCATCAGAAAAATCCTTTGGATGAGGGGAAGTGAAACGTATCCGCATTTCAGGATCAATTCTGGACACTTGATCTAGAAGGTCTGAAAACCTTAGTCCTCCTTTCTTCTTTTTATACACTGTACGAAATCCTTTTGCTAAGTGTGTTTCTCCATCTGATGGTAAACTACCATCAAAATCCACTACTGACAAGTCACGATAACTATTCACATTTTGACCTGAAAAATAAATGTTAAGTTTTCTTTTTGTTTTATTACAAAACCATCTAATAAAAAACACTGGTACATGTTTACCTTTAATTCCTTAATCATGACCCAACTGCATATTAATGATTTATTCTCACATTGAAAATATCTCCAACTTTGTTCCTTAAATACTACATAATTCAGAGAAAACTGTCTTTCTTATAAACAATAAAAAATTAAAATGATATAATCATCTTATTATCAGATAAAACAATATTTTCAACAATTAATAAAACTTATTTCATTTTGTTTATCACACAAAGTGGTTATTTGTGGAAGATCTAACCTAAATACATCCTTAAACATCACGTCCAATTACTGCAAAACCCTCTGGAACATCACCATGTTGTCCGAACAGTAGTGAGTAGAAGTAAAAAAGTATCTTCTTCTTCTACGGCTCTCCGGTCCGTATTTGGTCCATGGCCTCCTCAATTCTCCTCTTCCATTCGGTCCCCTGTTAGGTCCGTCTGTCCGAGGCTTTGATCGAGGTTTCGAAACATCTTCCTTTTTACGGCGCAAGGTTGTTAGCCTTGCGACCAACCCCCAACCTGGAGGACCAGGGTACCTGTCTTAGTCTGACCTCTCCCCCTCAACCAATCTGGCTAGGGAGGCCCTACCAGTAGCTCTTGGGGTCACTGACGTACTCAAGCCCCACCACCATGACAAGGTGTACTACTTAATTACAAAAAGTCATTATGACACATGAAACATGTCAGAATATGTCTAAACCACGCAGTAAATTATAAAAAAATTATGTGGATGTTAACGAGTATTTTGATAATGATTCCTGAAATGACAACAACAAAGTCTGTAATGAAATCAGTCATGTGAGAATAGAGTTACTGTAGTTTCCAAAATTACATCAACACCCGAGGATGGTGGCAGAGAGTCTCCAAAACATATAAAACTAACTGCATTCTCACAACACTGAGTGCCCAGCGATTCTTTCAGTCGCCACGAAAGTAAACGACGAGGCCGCTCCTTACCTAGTAAAGTAACTTCCTTGACACCCTGTTGAGAAAGATTCCACACTTCCTGAAGAATAGAAGAAATAGGTCTAGACCTCTCACGACCTCTAGTAAAGGGTACTATGCAATACGTGCACATATTGTCACATCCACGCATGATGGATCTAAAATTAAAAATAATATAATCCCACGTGAAGCTACACCATAAACAGATATAAAAATTCTACTTACTACAAACTAAATCTTACATTACATAAGAAAGATAGTAGCAGGCTTATGACGCTAATACGAAAATTTAAATTATGCAACCGAACAGGAGGAATTATCAAATACAGACACAAATTACAAGTTAAAGAAATAAAAAGTAAAAACTTCACTTAGATTCAATTCTGTGGCCACCTGCCCACAATTTTACACCGGGACATTTTGTTTTCCAAAACTGTTCACAAGCTTAATACATTAATCCAACAACAAAACTATTTTAAATTTACATCACCTAAGTGTAACAAAACAACAGAAGATTTGTAGGATTGGAATACGAATAAAATTAAAAAGACTGTAAAAGCACAAAATCTCTTAACTACTATTAATTAGGCCAATGATATACGTAGGGCAGTCAAAAAGTTCCCAGAATTGTGGTATAGCACTGTAATGGTAGGACATATGGCACCGCTTACCTAATCCCCTTCAAAGTAGGCCCCTTGCGCACGCACACACTTGCTCAATCGATCCTGCCACTGTTGGAAGCACCGGCGGAAGGCTTCGTTTGGAATCTTCCGGAGTTCGGCCGTCGCATTCGATTTGATGTCCTCCATGGTTGCGAAACGCGTCCCCTTGAGGCCCATTTTCAGAGTAGGGAACAGCCAGAAGTCACTCGGAGCGAGATCCGGAGAGTAAGGTGGTTGGGTGATGACGGGAACGCTTTTCTCAGCGAGGAATTGCTGCACAACCAGCGAGGTGTCGAATGCGACGGCCGAACTCCGGAAGATTCCAAACGAAGCGTTCCGCCGGTGCTTCCAACAGTGGCAGGATCGGTGGAGCAAGTGTGTGTGCGCGCAAGGGTCCTACTTTCAAGGTGATTAGGTAAGCGTTGCCATATGTCCTACCATTACAGTGCTTTACCACAATTCCGGCAACATTTTGACTGCCCCTCGTAAATATCACTGAGTGGCTTATAGTTGCATTGCTCATCATGTACATGAGTGTGTGTACATACACACTATACAACTGTTGACTTAAAAATTTAGGAATAACTATGATTTATTTGTTACAGCTTCATTTAAGAATACAATTTTTACCAAAACATGTATCATATATCATTTGGCACAAGAAGATAAAGTTTCTTACGCAACAGTGAAAATGAGTAACTGAATTGAATCGAATGAAAGTCATGTAAGTCGCGTAAAACATAATTATACATAAAAAAGTACCTATTTTAAGCACTACAAAATGGAAGATCTTTTTTGGGGTAAGAAACCAATAAAACTGAACCAACATTTTTGTACATAAACTTTCTTATATTTTGCAGTCAAGTGGAACCAGAACCATTTAACTCAACTTTTACATTTTTATTTTTTTATTTATTTAGTGTTCTGTGTGACGACAGGTCCATATGAACAGGATCCTTCCATCCTTTTCTCGGACTGGGACCTGTTCATATACGTTCTTGGCATATGATCCAGAAGTGGTTTGCCATTGCCTTCTTCTGTGTGTGAATGGAGTAATTGTTGGGATGCCACGGAGAAACCGGGGAAGACCCCGGAGGAAAACTCCGTGTTGCCCAGACCACGGCCTTGCCCAACACAAGTTATAAATTCGGGCACCGCCGGGAATCGAACCCGAGACCCCAGGATTACAAGGCCAGCGTTCTAACCGCTGTTAAACCAGCGTAGAAATTCGGAACAAAAACTTCAAGTACAACGACATTTACAGTTTCATACTGTTGGAATAATAACTCATTGGTGTTTAAACCGAACACAAATTTAAAATAACCGAGGAATAGCAACCGGTCTCTCCAAGACATTTCAACCAAAATTCTTGCACATTCAATACATTAATTACAGGTGGAATCAGAAAATTTTATACGGTAAACTGACAGGCCATTTAATTTTCTTGCTGATATCCAATTAAAAACATAATATTCAGTAAATAAATTAGCCATTTTACTTACACAAAAGCAGTGACTGAATCCTGATTCAACCTCACGGGTGCAATATCAGCATACGTCTCATCCAGTGAAAGTAGCACATTTACAGCAGTCTGGTTATTGTCGGTAAGAGTCAGAAGTCGTGGCAGATCCTTGTAACTGTCTGGACCAGCAACAATATCTACAGTCTGCTCCTTCTCCAAGAGCTGATGTTTAAGTCGCTCAGCCATGCATCCTAGAACAGTCACAGTAATTTATCTTCTACCAACAGATGAAATCTGAACACAAAAGATACATAAAGTGAAGCTTTCACGGTGACTGAAGTTCGCGAGCGACTCTCGGGTTACAAGCCGCGTCAGGTGGCTGAATGAATAAACCATATCTTCTGCCAACGTTTCGAGAACGTCTGCTCTCATCCTCAGGGCAGCTGCGTAACAAATCTGATCCTTTGTAGCACGCTTGCTGATGGGAACTCCATCCCCATGATAAACATTTTACAGCTATCTATCTTAATGTTATCCTACCATATTCTCAGTACTCCATATGCTTACTTTCCAGGAGTATTCATACCAAAATACTGTTAATCCCAAGCAATATGCAGAATTATGAATGAAAAATCAGGTGGTTATATAGTTACCACTGACTTATAAAGGGTTAGGTTAATCTTCTGGGCCAAACCAATCTTTGGTTATTCATCAGTTCTGTTTTAACTACAGTAATTTGGAACTGGTACATTTCTTGGCTTTCTAATTTAATATTCTTAGTTTGTTTCCTCCCATCTACCTAGTATCAAACATGGTAGAATAAAGTTTGATTTGAGCTTCGTGGAAAGGTTTTATATCTGAGAAATGTAAACCAAATTAAATTCATAAAATAAAGCTTACACAGTGGCTGTCATCAACAAAATCTTCTCAGGCTAACAGCTATGTCATATGGTTAGAATGGCAAGTTTTAACCATTTAACACAGCTGACAATCCGAGATTTTATTAAATAAAATTCACTCGGCAACTTTCTCCGCAGACACCAAACACATATTTACTTATTTATTTATTCTTGGTACATTTAACAGCACTTTCAGTTGCTTAGATCATACAGTGTCAAATTTCAACATTAAACTTCAACAAAATCCAACCAGTAGTTTCAGAAATAAAGCATGCAGATGAATATAGATGTTCAATAAGCATTCATTTATATGTAAAACTTCATTTGCATACTGAATGTCAATAAAGGTTCGGGAATACGTAAGAAATGCACATGAATCAGCCATATGAGAATTGGGTTAATATCCAACAATTTAGAGGAGATTTCTACCTTCTTAATCACAGAATGATTATGTTTCAAACTAACATGGCTGGCTGCTCGAGAAGACTTCGCTACATTCAGTAACCATGAAAGATTTAAATCTTACATAACCATGAATGCTTTTTGCTTGTTATTAGAGACCAACAAAAATTATCTTTGATGTTAAAGACTAGAATAAAGTGTTCATCTTTTCCTGTTTCTGATACCTAATATTCCAATCTTCAGCTGTGGTTTATGATTCTGTTTTTCTCTAGCTTTCTTCAGGGATCTGAAGTGTTTTAACTTGTTCCACACTTTTATCTCAGCTCCTTCACGGATAGCACAGGTTACTATCAATATGACATCTGCTTCCTGAATAGATTCTGATTTCAAGTATCCTACATCCTTCAGAATGGACCATATAATCTCTGTGTCATTCACATTCATTTGGCATCCATACACTTCAAAGTATACTGAAACACATAATTAAAGAATACTAAATTACAGGAAAACGTGACAAAGAGCAGAAAACTCCAAGCCAACTGCCAGCTAATAAAATTGAGAATCAAACTTTCCAAAAAGCATGTAATAGTCTATATTACTCATTGCCACATTACTACCAATAACTTTGCTAGACTGAATGAACTCTTTTGCCTTGCATTTATCTCATCAGGAATAAACAAAATTTCCCTACCAAAAAACCACTCTTGAGTAAGGCAGTCCTAGGCCTTTCAGACTTGAGGATGACAGTGGTGTCAACAGCACCAAATCATATATGATTATGAGGATATTACCATCTCAATTTGATACAAATCAATGAAATTTGAGGACACTAACAGGAGCTTATCTTACTGCTGATTATACCTACAGCAATTAACATGCTGGCAGTGTCCAAATTTTGACTAAAATATTTCAACGAAATTCTTATAAAGCAGGACAATTGCATCTTCCCTTCAGAAGACACACAGGCAAAGACAGATTATCTCCTTTGCTTGCACGTGTTGTAGATGTATCAGAAGAGTTAAAGTAAATATCTGCCAAGCAGTTGGACATACTAATATATTTTTCAGACAAACCAGAATTTGGTAATAACGTTAGTGTCATCAGGTTAGAGTTAGGTGTATAAGCAATTTGGTGGTAAACAGGTCAAGTATATGGTCGCAGTACAATAAAGCTCTTCTTAATTAATTACTGCTGACTCTTACACCAAATTAACGTTACTGAACAATTACACATACCTTTCCTATTCAGCCCATTAACTGACGCGTTTCTTACATACGGCACACTCTCACGTGTGACTGGCGGTACAAAAGAATTAGTCACGAAATCCTTTAATCCAGGTCCTTTACTAATATCAACTGCAAATTTACGCCTCTTCTGATCATGTGCAACAGGCTGCCAAAACGTATTCTGTTCACTGAAGACAGTATTACTGACATGTTTTTCATTATCACCACCAATTTCATCAATATCACCATAAGAAGAAACACGTGCATTGGAAAAATACAGTTTTGAGCTCCAATAGCTTACTGTTCGATGTTTCGTAGTAAAAAAAAGTGTTCTTCCTAAAAATGTCATTTTCACTCCAGAACGTTTTTTGAATATGGAAATCCGTACACACGTAGAATGATTTTAAGGTTATGTTCCACTGAAGGTATTCTTCCTCTATTCTAGGCCTTCACATAAGTCTCACGTACCATCAACCATACCCTAAGGACTTTTGTGGGCTATGGCTGTTTTACACTAACTTAAAAGCCACTGTGAATAAAATTCCAGAATCGTTCAACCTGAATACCTTTTTGAAATGCCGACTGACGTGTTCAGAAATGTAACAGCGAACATAGTGAAGGTCACAGGGTGGATAGCATTAAATAATTAGTGACAGCGGGTGTGAACTGAATTCATTTGGCTAAAGATGAAGTCCTGCGGAGCGCTCTCATGAACGCGGTAATGAGCCTTTGGATTCCATAAAAGCAGGGAGCAAACAACGCCTTCGTGGAACTATTAAGATTCTGCTACTGAAACCATGGATTATGCCATAAGCAAGGAAAAATGGAAAAATCTAAAATTAAGTTGTGAACGTGGCTCTGAAAGCAGGTCATGGTGGCGCCATACGGTGGGGTTTGGCAGAATCTGCGTATAGCAAGTAAGGTGTATGTTCATCTGCATAACTGGGACCTAGCAACAACATCCATGAAGATGCTTCCATATGTAATCTGAATTGAAAAGAAATTTAGATTGTTGCGTATTTAAACCTTGTGCATCGGCTGACGTTATAAAGCACAAAACGTTTCGAGGACTGGATGTGTCCTCGTCTTCAGGTGTAGTGATGAAAACCTACTCTGCAGGGTCCTCGAAACGTTTTATAACACGATGGACATGGTCCTAAAGACCCAACAATTCAGATTGTATTACGCCATCCTCAGAATTTTAAATTATCGATTTGAAAATAAATGTTACAAATGTACTTTCAATGCAATCATTGTTTTAAAACAAATAACAGAAAAGAGGAGGAAATATAATTTGCCTCTATTCCTGCTCTTTCTAAGTTATGAGAAGGCTTATGACTGAGTGGACCCATGTAAAGTATGGAACATTTTGGATGAATTTTGCCTCCTATTAGGTCTGGTGAATTCTATTAAGTCATGATTTTGTGACAACAGAAATTACACCACCTCAAATAACTTTTACAACAAACTTTACTAAGAAACAGTGCTAATCAGTGCATGTCTTCATGGCCAACTACACAGCACTGGACAATAACAATTATATTTGATGTTAATAAAAATGCCTGATTACAACATAAACTTCTTATCTACTGTATTTCACAAAGGTAATAACTGGTACAGTATTTTGTGTGGTATAAAAACCTCGATAATCTTACTACACAATTACAGCTCTACTATTAAAACATACCTCTTCACCATTATAATTTATATTTACAAATTCATTTCATTATCCAATATGTTTCAGCTCTGTCAAGCCATACTTATTCAGTTCAATTAATTTATTTAAGTGTTTGCCAACAGCAAGAAGCCAATGTTGTTACCTTCAGAAAGATACTAATTACAATGTACATAAACATTATCGAACAATTCACTATTAAAACTTATAAGTATTATTAAATAGGTATCAGTATGTGTCTGTCAGTGACAGAATAACTCAACACAGGAGATTTAATCTGGAACATCCGCAGCTTGGTATCCCACCAACCGCGTGAGAGGACAACAAAAGCATGATGCTGTCTCAAAATTTTCAAAGGTAAAAGAAGGCTGTGGCTCAGAAATGTTCACGTTAACATTCGTCGTCATTTCTGCACATGCAACTCACCTTTACATTTGTACCAGACCTTCAAGTTGCACCCTGCGTATTTCAACCCAAAAAAGTAACTGCGCTTTAGGAAATATTTTATATAGTAAAAACACTGGTAACCATTTAATAAATGTCGCTGCAAGCAACAGTCAGAATTAAAAATATTTAAATTAAATTCATCCATGTTCGCTACAGGCAAAAAGGTTACTAAAAACATACAATTCCATATATATTTTAACAGCATTTATTGTACTGGTGTAATAATAGGTAAGTCATGTAATGATTGTTAATAATATGAACTAAGTGTGAATAAAGACAAGAAAAAATGAAAGATGGCTAATTTCTCAAATATATACATGAAAACTGTTATTTCAAAAGAACATCAATAAGACCAATAATGTTACTAAATTATCGCTACAAGAGTAATATGAATCTATTATTATCATCTGATACTAGCAACAACAACTACACAATTCAGTGATCATCACATATTCACACTTGCATGTATATTTATAATGCTCTGCGTACCAAACAGACCTGGAAATTCAAAGTCTTGCAAATCAAATGCCATTGAAGTTCTCAATTATTCTGGATATAATTTTCATATCACACCCACATCACTCGGTCGTCTTCTTGGAATTATCCGTACTATCCATCGCTTTCTTCATTGTTTTCTCAAATATCTTTTTGGCATCACAGAAACCTTGCTTTGTCTTACCAAATGAATTTGGACCTGCTGAAGTTGGAGTTTCTCTGTAACAAAAAAAAAAAAATAAAAAAAAAAAAAAATGTAAGATCACCAACATTTAAATGTTTTTTGAAAAGAGTCTGAAAGAATTATCGGCTGAAAATAATCTCGGCATTTCGACAATCAAACACTTTCCTCTGTTGTTTCTGCTGCTTGACATTTCCATTTCATTCTGTCGTGATAAAATGTGGAGTTACCACATGATTAATTTTTGAATTGATTATTCAATAATAATAAAAACTTCACTGGTTAAACTCTGTAATTAGATGACATTACTACTATGAGTGCCATTTTCCCAGATCCATTATTACATTAACAATGAGTAGTAGTTTTAATTTTTAAGATTTCATGTTAGGGCGATGACGGAAGCAGTATGACTTCTGAAACGGTGAAAATCTACCAGACTACACAGTGCAACAACCCAGAAGACAGAAATCTTCATACTCATCACCCTGATTACGGAGGCAGTAGGACCTCTGAAACGTTGGTTAACATCGACCAGACTACACAGCGCAACAACCCAGAAGACAGATATCTTCATACTCAACGCCCTGATGACGGAGGCAGTAGGACCTCTGAAACGTCGGTTAACATCGACCAGACTACACAGCGCAACAACCCAGAAGACGGAAATCTTCATACTCATCGCCCTGATGACGGAGGCAGTATGACCTCTGAAACGTTGGT